ATGGAAAGCTTCGGCTAACATCATTGACGATAGTCCTGACAAATCCACTCACTGTTCTGACTTTTGATCAATTTGATGCTCTGATCCTTCATTTTTTCCGTAGAATAAATAGTTTAGACTTGAACATATTCTTTGCGTTCTCGATGTGGGATAGGTTATAGCAAGATCAATCATCCTTCAAAAACAAAATTGAACTTGCAAATATTCATGGAATTTTCACTTCAATCAAATGCTATTCTATTGAGCATTAGTTTATTAAGACAATCAAACGCAACCACAGAAATTAGGTAGTTTAGGTCGTGAGTTCGAAAAGATGGCTTGATGATAGGAACACTATTAAAATGTCATCATTCTTTCAAAGTTTTAATATCAAATATTACATCTTTAAAATCTTTATAATTTCTTGAAACTATCGTACTGAATGGGACTAGATTGAATATGATTTACGATGGTGATCTAGATCTCTCATTTTATTCTGGAGTTCTTTTTTACAGAACATTTTATTATTAAGTCGAGTTCAAAAATATTGGTAATCTAGTAGATCGAATTCTCGATAGGAAAATGCTAATCAAGTTCATAATTAGATAGTATCCACGAATCATACTCAACAAATCTCTCTCTCATGCCAAACATAGTATATGACTGCTATATAGCATAGCTTTAGGATCAAGCCAGTACACACCTTTGCCCCTCTTTCACCGAACATGTTTGGAAATATACGTACCCATATTTTTCTACCATGGCACACATTTCTTATCATTGCTCGTCGCTCCATCTAGACCTAGTTCCAGAAAGAAAGTCAAAAAATCTTGCTCCAAAGACAGGTGCCCAACAAAAATGGGGTGAATTCAGGAGTCTTGCGAGCATCTGTTACTTTTTTGGTCGGGGGCGCTTAGCCTAAATAAAACAGTCTACCTCATACTTCATAAGTCCATCGAACTACATGCCGGTAGCCTCCTTGTACGCTAGGCAAGCAGTTAAAGAAGCTGTTAGTCGGTTCGGTTGGGGAGAAAAGGTTTTTTGTTGCCGGAAAATCCCTCTCCGTGGATGATCGGAAAAAAGGGCCCTTGACTTTGTCTCTCTTTTGGTCTAGTAGTCCAAAACCAGGGATCCGGGAAAGGGTTCCAAACCTAACCTAGGTTGGGAAAAGCCAATCAACAAATCTCTCCAGGAAAAAAAACTCACACACACAGACACACAAAAAGAATTTTCAACCATAGAGCTACCTTTTGGCTGCTTGCGATAGTGAGATGTGCTACTTTGCTGGAAGAGAATACATGGATGTAAAGAGGCTCATGAATCATTTAAGACATGTTTATATTTAAGCCAAAAGAGTCATTTATCTTATATTTTGCTTCAAAATTCCCCCTACAATTACAATGTCCAGTTAGTGAGTAATCACCAAGTTTTTTTTATGCATAACCACCATTTTGTCTCACAATCTCACTTTTCCATTTATATATTTAAGCCGAAATTGTCATCTGTCTCACTTATTGCTTTTCAATTACCTCTTCCATTTACCTAGTGTTGTCATGCATAACCAACCTTTTTGTTTCACAATCTTACTTTTCACAAGTGTCGATATTGGTCTAATGCTAATAACTTTTCAACCCATATTCTTACGTACAGCGATGACTCTCTTATTTTTAGAATGATATCACTAAATAAATTTAAAAAATATAGTCTATAATACTATCTTAGAAGCAGTTGTGCGAGTGCGCTTATGGGAGCACCGGTATATCGTAATTATAAGACACCTCGTGAAAACTCCTACTGGGTCAAGCACGAGTATATTTTACATAAGTCACTACTCCATAAGCAGAAGGATACTAGAAGCGCTAAAAGTTGTGTACGGCATTCACTTAATGCCAAAAGTTTTTGCTGGATCAATTAAATGTCAAATCGAAGAAAAAACGATCACTTAAATACCAACGGCAAGAAATTTCGACAAAAAATAATACGTGCTTTTTATAATTAAAAATTTTATGACTTGGCATATTATTTAAAAAATCCAGTCCGCGTGGCATTTCCATGTGTACATTTCTCCCTCCTCTCCGTCCACATCATTTTTCTTTTTTTCTCTTTTTTTCTTCTCTTCTCCCTAGGTACTCGGCCACAGCTTCACAAACGCTCACCCATCACCACCCAGACCTACGAGCTGCGCCACAACCTCCGACAACCCCTCCATCTCTCTCAACCACAAAGTTGAGCTTCGGTGGCCGGATCCCGCCGAACCATTTTTCTCCATTACCTTATGGCCATAAATCTCCCCTGTTTCACTTTGTATTTCAACCGAGAGGACTCAAACTAAATGGCGTTAAAGTAGTTATTGACGATTTGGTCTGGATTTCTACTGACGTGATGTTATGAAATTGAAACCTTGCTTTAGTTTTGCATATAAGACCCTCACCTGAAATGTTCACCATGTGTTCAACGAAATGCGAAACCATATTTGCATAAATTTGTCTAAGATTCTGGATTTAGTGGCCCTCGCAGCGGCAGATGTCAGGATGGGCCAGTGGAGCAGCTTCTTCGTGGCTTGCCGGAACATGGCGGATCGAGGTGGGAGTTCACTCATCAAAGGGATTGAAGAAGAGAGGTTTGAAAAATAAGGGTTTCAAGAAACTTGATTTGTCCAAATTATGATTTATAATTTGGGGCAAACATGTTAACCGACGTCGTTTTGGGTCATTAATGCTGACTAGGCACGTCGGCGAGCTACGTAAGTCTGAGAAATTAATAAAATATGGTAACATCGAATTTTCAACAACCCATATTAGAGTTGTCACTTAAGTGATCGTTTTTTTTAATGAAAAAATGGTAGTTAAGTGATTCGAAAAAAACTTTTTGCACTAAAATTAGCATCGTACACAACTTTTGTCACTTCTAGTGTGTTTTTCTCCTAAAGTGAGTGTCGTGCATAATTTTTGGCACTAAAGTGATCGTTCTTCATGGTAAAGATGTATGATTTCTCCGCTAGCTCAAAGAAATCATCCAAATCCTCCTCTCTCTGGACGTCGGAGCCAGCAAGTCACTCGCCTACTCCACTCTTTTACGTCTCCAAGACCAGTCAGTTGATGCGATTCAAACCCTCGCCGATCGTTCTCGCTGCTTGTCGGCGATGTGCGTGAAGAAGATGAAGAAATGTCGGTTTTATTTATTGGTCTATCCCAGCTCGTCCTTTTTGTTAATTCTTTCATGAATTCACGACCCTGTTCGATTAATGAATTGGAGAGTCCGGTGCTGTTAAATCCCTGCACTGCTAAAAAATATTTGGCTGGATTAAGCTTTTAATTGCTACTACTAAAGTTTTTTTCTCGAAACATGTCGTGTTTCTAACTTCTCATTGCCTTTTGAACTGTAGTGCTGTCCAGGCCACGATGTGCTTGGGGTTTCATGATACATCCGCCCAACAATTCTTGCTTCCATCCCCCGGTGACTCTTCTTCAATCTCCTTTTTTTTTCTGATGCTATCTGGGATGAAATTAGAATTTTATGTCTTGAATGGAGAAAAATGGCATTTCTTGGTATTGCAGTGGGTGTCGCTGGTGGAGTCTCGGAGTCACTGGCTAATGTCATCATCGCTGCTAAAATGAAGGTAGGCTGCGCTGTAAACCGCACATATTTATGATCAAATTCTTCCCCCTCGAAGTTTCAAGAGTAATGTCTGTTTCGTTGTCGCAGTCAGTCTGGAACTTCTGTATGTGGTGCGTGTATCTATGCAGCGGTTTGATAGGTCTATGCTGAATGCCCATTTCCAGTCTTTGTTGAAAGCCATGTTCGCTCATGCGCTGGACAACCCTTTTTTGGGTCACTTTCAACAAAAACATGAAACAAAGAGACAAAGAAAAGGAAGAATAAAGAAAAAAAATGTATTCGGACGAGAATGCCCCCGGACGCGCACAAGGTTTGGCTATCCGGTGAAACCATACCCTTATTTGAGACTAAATTGACCACTCAAGGCTATTATTTGAAATAATGTTTATTTTAGACCCTATTTTGAGAATACAGTCTCACTTTGGGCCTTTATTTGAAATATTCCCACAATTTATTTAAATGTATGGCATGTTGCGGGATGAGGCGTCAGTGGTGGAGCTCTTTGTTCCCACTCACTGAATGATGAGTCCGAATCCCCTTTGCATAACATTTCGGACTCATTCCGAGACAAGTTGAGAGACTTTCCTTATCGCCTTGTAGAGTTTACTAGCCGTGACCGGCACGATAGGGGATGGATGGTCATTGACCTTAGTAGCCATATAAAACTAACACCACAAGTCTTAACAAAGTTAGTATATCTACATTTTTTAAATGTCGAATCGATCAGAACATATGTAATCTATCGAGTTGTACAACCAATCCCATTCACTCTATTACGAGCCTAAGAAACCAAATGCATAATAGAATTTATAAGATTTGTCCAAATTTTATGATAAATCAAGTTATTTTCCATATATTTTTTTCGATTTAACAATAAAATGATGTCTGAATCAGTTTTCACGAATCTTAATAAAAAGTAACGACTCTCATTGAACTCAAGATAGGCACCTCTCTCTCTCTCTCTCTCTCTCTCTCTCTCTCTCTCTCGGCAATAGAGGTAGCGACCACCATCGCCTCGAGCACAATGAGAGTCGCCGGGCCTTTTAAGCTCGAGAGGCGCTCGACGGGCCAATTGGGTTGCCACGTGGCGGTCACGCTGACCTCTCTCTCACATAGGGTTTTCTCAATTTCAATTCTTCCGTACTTTCACTTCCCATCAAAAAATTTTGGATCTAGCCAGCATAGTCGTGGAATGTCACTTCATTGTTATTACACATATTTCATTCTCTAAACCAACACGAAAAGAACCAAAACTATACGTGAATAATTCAATTTGGCAAAAAAAAAATTTAATCTAATTAAAAATTTGGCAATACATATACACATATATATAATATATATGAGAAACTCAATTTGAAATGAACCTTCGCTGGAATCCAACGACCGAATCAAGAAGCAAAACTCCCCGCCTCTCTCTCTCTCTCTCTCTCTCTATCTCTCCAACCCTAGCTGTCTTTCTCTCTCTGTCTCTCTCTCTGTCTGCGCGTGTTCGCCATGTTGACCTCGACTCCGAGCTCCGCCGACCCGCCGGAGGGCCCGAGGACCCGGCCCTACGACCCGTACCGGGACCTCCACGCCCCGATCAGGAGCCTCTACGACCTCCCCACCTCCCCGGAGTACCTCTTCCACGAGGAGGCCCTCAAGCCCCACCGCTCCTGGGGCGAGAACCTCCAGTACTACACCGGCTCCGGCTACCTCGCCGGCGCCCTCGCCGGCGCAGCCAAGGGCACCCTCGACGGGGTCAGGTCCGCCGAGCCCGGCGACACCCTCAAGCTCCGCGCCAACCGCGTCCTCAACGCCGGGGGCCAGGCGGGCCGGCGGCTCGGGAACTCGCTCGGAATCGTCGGGCTGATATTCGCCGGGCTGGAGAGCGGGCTGCTCCAGTGGAGGGGCACCGACGACGTGTTGAACAGCGTCGCTGCCGGGTTGGGCACGGGTATGTTGTTTTTATTGATGGTTCGAGCTCTCTCCTTTCTTTCTTGTTTTCTTGTTTTTTTTCTTTCCCGTGCTTTCAAATTTGAAATTTTTTATTGCGGAGCCTGTGTTGTATGCTTACCCGGTCGATTTTAGAACTGCTGAATCGGGTTCCCAATACGGAGGTCTTGTGTTGGTGATGATTTGTGGTATGAGCTCATGAGAATGACGAGTTTTGTTCAGTGGGGTGGTGTTTTCTGGGGCATTGGTGAATGAAATGGAGAAAATTTGCGTGTTGTAGGAGGAGGATTAGGATGCAAAACTGCAGAATTACAATTGCCTCGCGGCACCTGAGATGGGGAGAGCTTGAAATGATGCTTTTTGGTCATTAGATAGCGTAGTGGGCATGTAGAAAGCTAGTTCTCATGCACCCTAGTCGTGGAAGTTGAAGAATTAAATCCTTGTGTTGATGGGATTATAACAAAAGGGGAGCATGTGTCTTAGGTGAAATATGTATTATATGTCATTACTGGAAATCATTACTTGTTTAGAGAGATTCAAATACGCAATCACTTGTTTATTGGCATGGCTTATAGAAGTTTATCTTTTCACTTACATTGATGATCCTGATGTTTTATGGAATTTTTTTTGTGCTTGAGTGTTATGTTTTCCTCATTATTGCAGCATCATGAGATGGTGGAATTGGTTGTTTGTGACAGGTGCGCTTTATAAGGCGGCAGCAGGGCCAAGATCGGCAGCAATTGCTGGGGCAATTGGAGGGATTGCGGCGGCGGCGGCAGTTGCTGGGAAGCAGGCTGTGAAAAGATATGTGCCAATATGAGACGTGAGGAATTGCCGAATTGTTTTTAAATTATGTTTTTTCAGTTGGATTTGCGACGGTTAAATTCATAAAATCACTGGTTACATGGTGGATGTATCCAATCTGCTGACTTGGCCATTATTCATTGGTGGTGCTTACCAATCAATGGAAATTTTGGGAACTTGATTGTGACTTCGAAATGTATACTTGTTTAGTTGCCTTGAATAAATAATAACTGAAGTAAGCATCCCAGATGCATATTCTTTTGGTCTTGTGACATGAATTGAATTTCAAGAGGCTACTCATTGTTGATAAGAATGTTCTTTGGTCTTTCATATGTAACTTCGTTCGCCTATAATATACTTGAGATATCGTTCAGATGGATTTGGCAATGGTCTTGTTCCACATTTAGCAGAAACTAATCTTGAAACTATGGCCCTATATGATTACTTTGTGTTAGAATGCTCTCCTGTGATGTTATTTCAGCTGCCAATATGATTGAGTCTCATTCTTTGGGAAGGCACACTTCTGGCAATATTGAAGAGCTTGCAGCCAACCCGGATAATTTATACACGTCCTTAGAATTTACTGTTCGTGCCCTTATTTGAAGGCTTATTGTAAGGTAGGTGCATTTCTGGCAATATTGAAGAACTTGCAGCTAAACTGGATATTCATACACATCTTTAGAAGTTTCTCTCTTAAAGACGTGCTGTAAAGAGCTTGTGATGATCCATTTGTCGAAAGCTATCTTGTTTCTCTGATTTTTGTATAAATTATCAAATGTGCAGTGTAATTTGGTCTATCTTACATGATACATCATGCAGTACTACCAAATCCAAATGCACTGCCATCGCCATTCATGTTCTCATCTGCTTTCCCCTTCATCAGATTTGGACACTTATCCATTGCTCCTCGTCAACAATAATTTTTAGCCTAGTATCAAACTGAACTCTCCCTCGTCTCTCAATGCCAAACCCCATCGACAAAAAGCTAAACACTGCCTCTGCGGCCAAGCGCCAAGAGTGAGACAGCAGCCAGAGAGACGGGGGTTCTGCATCCCCCTCATGGGCGGTAGCTGTTGAACTTGTATCGAGTTGTCATCGTAACAAGCCAATTATTGCACTAAATCATGTTAGTGCTGCCATGATTTTCAATTTTTCCAAGACAGAAACGGAACCCATTGTTGGCGGAACACATAGATGAATATAAACGGAACCCTTACCAAAAAAAAAACGGAACCCATTGTTGGCGTGACTGACGCAATAAGCTTATCCATAGAACTGATTATTGGGCACTAGAAGCACGTAGGCTGAATATATGTGATCCTTTATAGATCATGCGGACTCTGTAAGTGATTCAATGGATTACGGACATCCGACCTATCGTCATCCTAGTGCATGTTCCAATTGCTAGTTGCATGGTGTAGCTTCTCTGCATAATTTTTTTCTGCTTATGGAAATAAATAGAGCACGATATCAAATGACTTTCTGTAGATGATGAATTTAGGCTTGACTCAGTTTCGTTACGCAAAAGCTTGGGCAGACCACTGCAATTTATTTCACCTAACGAACTTGCTCGGCTGATGTTATCCTTTTAACGGTCTGCATTTAATGGTTTGTCGCACATACCGCTTATCAATGACTTGTCTGGCAATATGTGGTTAATACCGCTAGCTACAACTCCTTTGAGAATTCCAGCATAAATCCAACTCCTAACAAATCTTGCTACAAAAGAATGGAACTCGATAAAAATTGCAGTCGAGCTGTAGCTCTTAATGGGGTACTTTATTAATTCACTGAGACAGTAAAGCAGCGTGACACAATTTAGACGACACCGTGAAACAAGACATAAGTTATGATTCGTGCTCAATAAGAATGGCTTCTGTCAGCCTACTATTCCAAGAAAGGCAAAGAACTGTTGTTCTACTCATGTTTAATTTCAATCTTTATGAAAAACCACGGCATTCTAAAGCAGCATTTTGAACAAATTTTACTAATACAGTCTGCTTGCTGCTCACCACACTGCACCTGCGGCCCCCAGCTCCAGCTTTTGCTGAGAAAGCTGCAAGTTCCAACTCGCTGGGATGTTAAGAATCCCATTCACATACCTCGGACTTCATTACTCCACAAGCATGCCATGCATTGTACGCTTATATAATTCCGCTTAATCAAGTGGCATTTGCCATCTTCAATCTCCCATCACAGTTCTGCAACCACATCCACGCTAAATTTATGCTATTAGCCCACTGGGGACATACAAACTGCTGCTTGAGGATACCCACATCAAAGAGAAGTCCTGCAACTAGTACGGAGTGACGCACGGGATGCCAAAAAGTATCAATAGACATAAACATGTTCAACTGCTATTTTCCCCATACTTTCCTCTTTGTTTGTTAAATCAACAAAAGGCGAATAAACATATTCTGAAACTTTTTACTTTAAGCAAAACGTATCACGTATAACTTTAAAATTTAAAGCCAAAATATGAAAATTCTGACCCGTTTCTGCCAGTTTCTTCATTCATGATCGGCTAGACATCATGAAGAATCATGGAGCAGTTTGAGGTGTCAAGTTTGCGACGATGAGCATGTTTCATGGTTTAATGTTTTGTGAAAGGCAACCTGCAAAAGCATAATGACCCAAATTTCAGATTGTATGCACGAACAATTTAAAGCCTCCGGTAAGACCATCCAACTATTGCATTGCAAAATTCAACCACCAATGTCAACACTACAGAAAATGTAGGAGACAATCAGATGCATTCTAGGCGATTAATCCTACAGGTTAGCTAATGAGAGAGGCTGTTTGTGGGGATGGAAGAATCCTATTAGAAGTTAGAATAGCTCATAAACCTGCCATCTTAGAATGGCAAGATTCATAAACTCCTAAGAATCCTAACAGTAGCAACAGAACCAATAAATAAAGTACTCCAGTAGCCTCGCCTAAACTTCTATGAAAGACTATCAGTATCAGGAATGCTGATTTCAGGCAGGATTCTCCGAAATCAAGAAAGGATTTTGATGTACAGGCCTAAATATGTGAATTATTTTGTTTCTTCTTATCAAATCAGCTCACTTCTAAACCCATGCATATATAGAGGTAACTTTTCTAAACTCAAGTAGATACTATGCTTTCTCAAGATGCTGGACATCAAGCTGTAATTTTATTGCTTTACCATACTCCCGTCTTAATATTTGTCTATTTTCACTTTGCACACTTTTCTCATTGCTTTGGGTCTCAGCATGATCCCTGGGCATTAGTACTGCACCGTATTTTGCCTTTAGTGAATCATGTTTGAGGAATCCAAAAGAGCACGAAGAACTTTTAGTGGCATACTTACAGATGTTGATGTCTTCAGCAGCTCTCTTATGGCCATTGTTGCGTAGGACGATGATGGAAGCGAGAAAGCCAGCTTTAAAGCCATATGAATTTCATCTCTGTCAGAGATGCTAGCTTCACCAATGTTCACTGAAGCATTTGCACCGTTCTCACACGTCGACGAGATCACAGAATCTAATGGATTATCGTTTCCATTGACAAAGTCCTTCCCTTCAACAAACCTGAGATGCTTAGATTTGGTAATTTTGTCTAAATCAGTCTCAGCCAGTGGTACACTAAAGTCTCTGTATCTTAGCATCTCCCTGCAGTAGAAGAAAACAGTCGCTGAGAGAAAACAATCTCAGAACGCTTATATCCAACTAACATAATATTTGAGAAAGATGGGGCCAGAAAGTAACAGGAAAAGCCAAACCACACCATTCATAGTCCATTGGTTTCTGAAAAACCCGCCTGTAACCTCCTGTCATACTGGTTATAGAGAATTCCCTATGACACACCAAAATAACTGGATCAGTGTGTAGCCCCATGACAGAAACTGCTCTTAATAGGATATTTGGTGGCTAGTGATGAAGACAATTAAAAAGTAATGAGAAATTTACTTGACATTGTGCACGCTCTCTGTCAAGCTAATGGAGTCCTGCAGGAGACATTGTTTAAGTGAGGCCCAGAAACAAAACTAACAACTTTTAGAGAATATCCAGAAATATAGAAGAAACTTTACGCGTATTGTCCTAAGCCAAGTTCCCTTTAGAAGTATTTTCTCCCACTATTATCAACAATTTTCTTTTGCGGAAAAATAAATATGAGTAATCATCATGCAGTTTAATTTTCAGCCCAACTATAGGTCTCCTAAGTCCGCTCAAGCTGTAAGGGACATTCTCATATATGACTCAATCACACACCCATCCTAAACATGTTTCTGAAATTCCAGCAGAACAGCAGGAACTCTGTCCTTTACATGCATAAAGTGCTCCATCATTAGCCAAAAGTACTTTTCCAATGTAAACTTGTGGTCTGAGGGGTCACATGGTAACTTGACCACTTTATCCCAAGCTAGGGATTGCCAATATGCAGCTGTTACCAAGTGTGTGATGGGGGCTGGGTGTCAGCTGCGGGTCCTCAGGCCCCTAGAATTTTTAATATTCACACTTAAATGCCACATATGATAGGATACAAACAAAATGCATTGAAGGATGCTCATTGAATTCCCAAGAAGCACCTGACCTTCTTCGCCAAATCATGATAAATGTCTGCAACATCATTATTAGGGTATATTACTCTTGAACTGCCACAGAAAAGGATAGACAATGTCAGATGAAATAGACGATGCCTGAGAACTTACAATGCAGGGTGTACTGTACAAGTCTTCCCTTACCCAGGCAAAGGCAGGACAATATCATCTAGTGAATATCTCCCCGAAGCAATATCCTCTGAAGTCAAAGCCTGTAAAAAGATCAGTAGCCCTCATTTTCAATCTTGAGCCTAGCATTTAACTACATATTTCAGTATCCAATTAGAAGTGGCAACAATAGACAACACTGAAAACGAGTGAGCATTTTTAGATGCAGGTGCGTTTTATTTTGCACGAGTCAGTTTCTTAAATGACTTCTGCATGCGGGTTGGCAACCCCTTAATTCCTTTGATACCACGCCATCCAACTATATATTTGCCAATGTACATGGCTAGAGAGGTTCCTTGCTTTATGGGCTATCAGAAATGCTGCGTATCAGCAGACAGTCGTGAAAGCGAAAGAACATAGCTCTGACCTTAACAAGAGGATGACCTTCCGCTCGAAGATCCATTTCAGATGTCTCATCCAAATGAACATGATCAAAGGCATCGGAGGAGTCATCATTTCCACATTCTGAAACAACTTCTGCCACATTCTCATCATCATGTCCTTCATGATGTACAATGTCCCCAACCACAACTTGGTCTGATCCTGCCACGTGGTGAAAAACAGAGCAAAATTATTGTTCTGAACCTAAGGATAACAAAAGAAAACCTAAACATGTCTTTTTGATGCGGTACTTAGCATACCACACTTCTGGGCCCTTGCACTTGCTGCATGGTTCCACAGATAACTCTGATAACTATGTACATACCTGGGGAGAAAGTCCAGTTAGCAACCGAAGGGAACACCTAACATAAGAATCCCCAGCAAGAAATATTGGGCCCTTCATGCACAACCATATGATGCTGCTTTATTGAAAGAGTCTATTTACATGTTTGGAGGTGAATTCAGAAAATGCAATGCTCCTACTTGAAATGATCGTCAAGGATAACCATGAAAACAGATTTGAAGTTACACAAAAGATTGTTTGACGATGAAAAACATTGGAAAAGATGCTTCGAGCATCTAACAGTGACAATTGACCTATAAGCTTAAGAATGTGGGCTCAGGTAAAAATGAAAATCAAAAGCCTAAACGAAGGCGTTCAAGTAGAACATAGCCTTTTATCTTGTGAGCAGCTGCCAGACTAGAGCTCAGACGGAGCAACATATGTTTCACTAACTACTTAGTACTTACATCATTCTCAAAGTCCTAGGTATAGCTTTTAATGCCTGCAAGTAGTTCCCAGGAAACTTTTTCAAGGACTGGAGCTGCAAAAGGCCAAAAAGCAAGATCATGCAGCATCATCATTAGACAAAGCGATGCAAAAATACCAACATAATAATTACATAATATGATGAGCAGACGGTGCCGGTACAGGACAGGGGAAATTGAAGGGAAGAAAATTAGTTAAAAGAACTATAAAGGACATGAAATTGCCAAGCTGGAGAAAAGAATTGAACAAAAGAGCAGTTGGCACAGCAAGAACAACTGAATGAGCGATTGCAAATTAAAAGCTTACTACAGCCCTTTCAGCAACCAGATGACGGGGCATTCGCCTCAAAGTTCCGTCAATGTCACCACTCTCCTTATAATACTCCCTTGCAATTGCTACCACATCTTTTTGTATCTAAACTAAATTAAGGGAAACAGTTGTGCTATACCAGGGAAAAAGAAATAATAAGCCCTCTGAGATCATGCAATGAACCACACAGAACATCCTTTCTCCATAAAATACTGAAATCATCATAAGGATATCCCCCTCCCTCGGATCAAGAATCATGCTCACAGCCGTTTTCCACTCTCCTCGAAGTAATGCTGCGCCAATATTATGAGTTGGCACAGAACCACTTCCAAAGCGCTGGTAAAGATAAGAAAAGTTGAATGTATTAATCACGTAGCCCAACGAAAATAATTTAGCAAATATGAAGAGCTGCACCACATAGCAATAACTTCATTTGCTAATTTATTATGCAAAATAACTCACCTTCAGTTGTGGTTAAATTATCATGCAATGCTGATATTGATAAATTGATTCAATTAGTAGAGCAACAACGACATGTCGCACATCATTATAGGCAGGAAAGCCTGCCCAAATTCAAGCCAACCTGCTCTGAACAGGATCTGGAGCAAGTCATGGAATTGGTCAAGCTCAAAGCTGGTCAAGTCCATTTCTCCTTGGCAAGCTTTCTAACCTACGATGTGGCAGCACATGTCATTATGAGCCGTTTTAGTTTTCTTATTACATCCAAATTAGCATTTCTCTTCAACCCAATAGACAAAAGTTTAAGAAATTTAAATTAATATATATTATTGTAACTTCTAAATCCAACAAATGATTGGAGACTAGTGTAGATGGTTGGGGCATCAAAGTAATTTTCAAAACTGCAAAGGTTGTCATGGTATTTTAACAAAACTTCAAGGGCGCATAGTTATCTACCTTAATAGGTATCACATCCCTAAATCACATCATTCACTGACTGAAACTAGCATCTCTTAAAGAACACTTTAGTGCTTGAGGTTACCACAAACATCTAGCATAGCCAGCCATTCTCAGGAAGTTGAAATGGACATGGGCTGTTCTGGTAGGAATAAAACATATATTGCATGACCAGATTGAAACAAGAGAGTTGCTCAAACAAAACAGGGTCAAGAATTATGGCAAGTTTACTAAATTAGCATTCTCAAAACATTACTAGTTTTATATCCAGAATTATAATTTGTTCTATAGCAGAGAGAACACCAGATCTATTTTACTACTCACAAAGTGTGAGCAAGAAAGGTGTGATCATTAACAACAGACATAAGGGCATATGCGGCCAATATTCTTGAACTAAGTGATCTACCATTTCTTGCGATGGTGAAATTGACAAGCCCTGAATGGCCAAGGTGGCACACCCTACACCATCTGTGCTCGTAAAGGTCTTAATGGACATGAACACAATGTTCTTGCTAGGACAAGAATATTTCAATTAGATTTTGCACTACTCATTAAAAAATTTAATTAATTCCCTTGTCGCTGCCAGGCAAATTCAAAGTCATGAAACTGTTTGCAATATCTGCACATGACCAGTTAAAGTTAAACCAGCGAACTTTACAAAATCATCATATAAAGGAACAAGTGGAGATAGTCAATGCCTTCACTTTGCATATCCAGAGTTTACCATCTTGGAATCCATTCCATAGGTTTTATGCAAGTTGTTTGACATTAGTTACTATAGTCTATCTCTTTGCAATTAACCCCTTTCAGATAAGATTGCTATGTATGACACACACTGAATGTTGCAGATGTCCGGTCCATAAAATTTATTCCCCTCAATTTCCTGAAGTCTTGTCTATCTCCCTTTGGGTGCTCTCATCAATTTTCATGTCCAAAATGCACGTACTTCTATCTACAATTTCTTTCTTGAGTTACTGCTACACCATAAAGTCATGATTGTTCTCCACCATAACCAGTTGTTAGATCCAGAGGGTTTGCTCGTAACAAGAAAGTTTCATCTAGCAATGTGAATTTAGGGCACAATATGAATAGAAGCTCATGTTCTTGCAGGACCATGGAAATGAGGCCTGCTTGAGAGACAAAGGATGTGAAAGGTCAAATTTGTCTCAGATACAACTTCTCCATCAACTTTATCATGCGCATTATTTTGAATACATGTCATGGGGTTAGAAAGGAAAAAGGACCAGCAATATATAGTACATTCTCGTGACAAACATAGGGGAGGAAAATATGCCAGATGCGAAGGATACGATTAGATGAACTAAATGATAGAGATAAGAAAAATCTAGAAAATACCTGCAAGCCAAAGTAGTTAATGAACCCCTGCTTTCCTAAAGCATCTGCAGCTGCTTTGATGGTATCCTCTGAATCTGCAATAACGCCGCTATGAAGAAATGCATGTTGTATTAGCATAGACTTAGACTATGAAAGGTTTAATGCAACCACACATAAAAGTGACATCATTCCTACCGTAGTGTGACTGTAAATCTATTTCCCAAGAGCTTCCCTAAAACAAGTCCATCCTTCACATAGCTGAAATGGAGCAGCTAAAAGTGTTGGATATGTCATGTATATGTATATATCCAAGACAAAGGCAGAAAGTAAATAAAATTCGCCTCACCAGAAGTCACCCACTTTAATACCGATAAGCTTTTCATTCAGAGATGCTAATTTACTTGCGGATTGCTTGAATACAGTAACCTGCAAATGCCAAAGGAAACCTAGCTCTGAATTTTGAACATCTGTCCCGTGTCTTCATAAAAACTGAACGGAATAACATATCCTAGAAGTACAATGATGCATAAGACAATCAATTGCTTGAAGAATAAGCAGTTAAGTTACTACACTCGATCTTATTTTGAAACTAGAGACATTGCCCATCCATTGCAGGGATTTTATAATTATTGAAACTGAAAAACCGCTGAAGGCAAAGTGAGAACTTTTTCATGTAGCATTTGTAGGAAATACCGAACCTCTCAATTATCAACAAGCACAATATCTTTTAAAGATCATAAGAATGGAAGATTCCAATGAAGTCAGGTAGCTGTAGTTGATTTAGAATAGTTATTCTGCATTAGTTCTCTAATACAAAATTAGTTTACAAAAGTCCATAGATTGTTTACAACACTCCCTGAACAACGACCATCATCAATATGGGGCCTAATAATATAAGATAGATTGACAGTGATTTGAAAGACCTTCTAGTTTTGTTCTTCCCAGTACTCTGAATATGATAATTACATAACAAGATGCCAAAAATATACTGCCATGCCCAGGAAATTTAATCACAGATAAAGGAACAGGTGAAGGTTGCAATACAATAGCAACTAACAGGCACAGCACTTTCAGGCTTTAAAAGTCAAACACATGTAAATATAGCATCATTCACATTGTTCAAGAGAAAAAAATATTGTTCAAGAACTTCCCTTCAATAATCCCAAATAAATAGGCAAAGGAGAGGCTTACTCCAGTATCATTTAAATATCCAGGCAGAGAGAAGAAAAAGAACTAGCGGTCTACTAAATAATAAGGCTATTCGAAAATCATGTGTGAAATGAAGGAGAAGCGCTGTTGTAGGATATGGTAATAAATAGAACCAACCTGAATTACCAGGTCTTCCCTATAACTTGGAAATTTCTAATTTTAAGCTCCAAAAGCAAGCATGAATGGGTACCTCGAGAGAACAACAATAATGATAGTTTTTGCAGGTTGCAGATATAATTCTATTGATAGGAAGAGGTACGTGAAGTATATCAATGTGCTATTCAAAAAAAATTTGCAGAATAGATGAAAGTTAGAGTCCCAGAATTAAATTACTTGGAATTTCAAGCCAAAACAGTCATTAATGTCCAGGACCACAAGAGTATATTAATTATGATTGTTTTGCAGCTAATTATTCTTTTAAAAGTTAAATACAAATATAGCGGTATATTCAGTGGTACTTCCATAAAATCTTTCAGAAATCCTAGCTGAAGGGAAAAACTGCACCAACATCAATCAAGAATCCCACATTTTTATGTAACACGGCATGACACTGACGATGACTCGTAGATTCATCTTTTTAGGGCACTTCTTGGAGAAGTTTTAGTCATCTAGAATCTCCTATTATCTAAAATGGAGATGACTTACAATTTGAAAGAAGGCCACAAGAAATTTTTTACCCATGACATAGCAGAGACACTATGAAGATTGAAATTGCTTTCAAATGACAATATAGATCAAAAATAAAATAAGGCAGAAGCATGCCTAGTATTAATTACCCTCTGAGTTGAAACAGCTCGCTTGTCCTTGGTGCCCGCAAACCCAAATGATCTCGACTGAGAGATGAGAAGATGAATCATCTTAATGGGAATGAACTCAAATAATATGATCTTGATTTTTACTAGACCTTGGAAAAAGACTGTTTTGATGATATAGGAACTTCCTTGGTGAATATAGATTTTCAGTTGCATGATCACACATGCCATGCATTAGAAATCCCAGGAGAACAGAATCTGTCACCAATGAGGCTTAGTCCACTTTTTCCAATGAAAATGATGCTACATACAAAAGCAAATCCTTTTTCAGTATAGAATCATAAGCTACCTGGGTGCCCAGCATCTTTCCTATAAGACCCAAGGCCTCCTGTGTATCCTTATTTTCCTTGAAAAGATGAAACCTGCATAACAGCGATCCTCAGTAGTTACCTAAGTTGTACTTGAGAAAATTAAAGAACAGCTAAAAGATGTTGACTGGCAAAGTTAAACAACAGATGATTCGAAGGTATCAAAGAAATATTAACAACGTGAGTCTTGTTGAAGTCTAAGTCATAAATTAGAGCATCTAAAACAGAAGTGTAGTCGCATCCTCACTTTATAAAGGACAAATAGCATTAGGTATGTTCCATCCTGACCATATCCCTAACCTGTTATTATTTCATTGCTATACACCACCTGACCTCACCTCTTCCACATGCAATGCAATTTTTCTGAGAACTATTCAAATCACTTACATATAGCTTATAGAAAATTACTGTCAATTATAGTGACAGATCACACCAACAGCTTCCACTAGTTAATATCTCTGAAGAATGGGATACTGAAGGCCACGCAGAAAGCACACTCTATGAAACTCCTACATTAGCTAGGTAACAATCAATCCACGATTTGATCATTTCTATGCTCAATCACTTATGATGTTGCAGAATTATTTTCTTTTAGGTGCTGACAATTACATCTAATCTTATGGAACATCTAATTGGTAGTAAAACATAGTCGTGAACATAAATTGTCAGAAAAATGCAATGGCGGCTCAACATTCAGAATTACCTAAGGAACTTCCCAACATGTTCAGGCCAGCTACTTGAACCTCTGCTATCAAAAGGCTTATCACCTCTTTCCTTCCGCTTCTTTGACATTTTACCCTTGGACTGACCTCCAGAACTTACTCTCACCCGAATGCACTTTGTCGAGGCATCTGGCCCATCAATCGTGTCGGTAACAAGAAATTTGAATTTCTCTTTGAAATAATTATGAATTGCCTGGAATACGCAATAAGAATTACATCAAATTTGATATGGCTATAGTCAATAATCAAATGATATTTGCTAATACTGAACCAAAACATCCAAGATCAAGATCAATATGCTCGGAAAGACCTAAAATAACTGAGCTCAGGGCCTAAAGTGAGTGACATCTGACTCGTTAAAATCACCATAACCAGAAGAACATTTGAATTTCCTCTGCTCAGAACATCAACCAGACAACTATCGGGATAAGGATTAATTTTTTGTTGCTGTTGTTGTAAAACATAAACCAGACATAGTTCCACCATTTACCTAAACCAGGCAATAAGATACTTTATTAAAACAAAACAACTAAAAAATTCCACCAAAGTGCAAGCAGCACACCGTGCGATGAATTTTGTCACTATTTGGAGAAAGAACTGTAGGCGAGAGGCTCTCTTCAGCACCAGATGTAATTCGCGCTATAAAACCTTGGAGCAGGTCGGCATCAGGTTCACCGGCAAGAGTCCTAAAAGATTCGATCTCCGCATCGTAACTTTTGTTCAGATGATCGGAAGCATTCGTCTCGTTCCCCTCCGCGATGTGAACGGGCTGTAAAAAAGCCACATCATCTTCAGACCCTCACGACGGTTAACATGAACACAACACAAAGAACCAAACTTCGCCCACAATTTACCTCGGGAGGGGCATCCAATGTGGTCAGACGAACAACATTTCCCTCCAAATCCACTTCATTGACAATGAAATCCGAATACCTGTACAAAAGTCCCACGTAGCATATGCAAAAGTCAGCAAAAAGAAAAGGGCTTTAATGAGACACAACATCCAGGAGACTGAATGGCCGAGACCCAGAATTTTTACAAAAATGGGTAGGCGAATTCACTTCGTTTCTATCGCGGAAACGACTCTACGACCACGAAAGTTTCTTGATTTCACAGATTGGAACGGAGAAGAAAACTGGGCATGGTATGAGCGCGGTTTGAGTTCGTTTTTACCGGACCTTTGCTTGAGGATGCCGCGAAAGCCAGGGAGGTTGGAGATGTAGCAGACGATGCCGACGTCGGACTCTTCTGGGGTTTTCATCGCCATGGTTGTGGGATGATCGAAGCTCCAGCCGAGTAGCAGAAGTGCCGCAACTGTTATGGGAGAGCTTTGTCACTTGACCAGTACAGTAGGGTTTTAGAGCTTAACTTTTTTTTTTCTTTTTTAGAGCTTAACTTTGGATGTTGGATTTTATAAATTTAAAAAAAAAATTGGACTGAGATCAAATAATTTCACTGTCTTTCACTTTTTTTTTTGTTTGACTTACTCTAAATTTGCGACGGGTGTATTTTACTTTTTTTAATTTACAAGACCTGAAATTTTCTCATTTCAGGTCATAATCTTCTCAAATTTGGATGATATTTTTAAATTTTGATCAAAAAGGATAAAAAAATACTTTTTGCTTTTGTTTGAATGTAAACAAATAGAGCCTGTTTACCCACCCATCGGTGGCCGCATTGGTTTGCGCTCAGTTCTTTTCACGAGAGATCCTAGGTTAAAAACTCGCCCATCGGTGATTTAAGTGGGGGGTCGTGGCGGTGGGATGCGGCGCTAGCCCCCCTCGAGGACTAGTCGGGTATCACCGCTGGTTTGAGCCCTAGCTCGCCGGCCGCGCGGACACCTCGATTATCAAAAAAAAAAAAAACAAATAGAGCATGTTTAACCTTTGAACTTTGGATTTAATGACATTAAGAAAATTACATTTATATCCCATGATACTTACCTACAAATAAAACTTTTTTCTTTAGCAAGTAGATCTTTTAATTCAACTCGGACTAGGTCATGTAGGTTCACTTATGGCGATCAATTTGCGAAAAATCTAGCATCTTTATGTTGAGGACAAGAATCAACAATGTCTTTCAAACTCGGTACTCCGTCTAGCTCATTCATGTCTACCTATCAATCCGATTTACGAGAGATCACATATACTAAATCAATACATTTAGGATAAACCTAATCGATGGGCTGATCGCTAAAGAGGGAAAATAGATGGGCCAGGACAAGCAACTAAATTATGGGTTTATCCATCGAGGCTTGCTAGCGAAGTCAATTTTATCTAGGAGTTTAATAATATTGAAGCATGGCAAGTTTAGGCAAGAACCTTTAGGCTGTAGAGTTGATTTATCTAGATCCACCAAATGATAGGATTGATATAAAGAGAAGGACAAGATCAATAATGACAACATTGACTAATTGAATTCTCCACATTTTAATATGGTAAGCTAAACTCTTAATGTAATGATCATTGGTGAACTGAATCCTTACGCTTGAATTCAATCAATTAAGTCCTCCATATTTGAAAAAGCTGCACTGAAGTCCTAAGGAGGTTTTTGTGGTTTTTCTCACACAATCGTGGTGAACGTGATTCCTCTCGATTTTCCTTCCCTCCTGCACAAGATCACAATCAAAATACTTCACCGTCCCATCAAGGTCAGTAAATTAATATCTTTCTTTCGTGCCTAACTGCATTTTAGGATTTGCTCAATCTAGCCTTTTAATGGTAACTTAAGGGTCTTGGGGGTAGTTTCCCATACAAGATTATTTTCAAATAGAGAGAGTTGTGCTAATTGCCACAAGAATGCGTGGTGTCCTTAACAAAGGCTGCATAAGAAGAATGTAAGATTTTTTACTTGAAAAATTTCAATTTTAAGATTTGATTGTATCTTTCTTTAAGAAAAAAAAGCATCGAGAATACAATTGATCCTATATATATAAAGTCGGAAGACTCGATTGATCGGTTGTCAAAATGTGAAAAGGTTCTCAATTAACCAAATCGAAATGCGGGGGTCTTAATTTGCGAACCAACATAAAGTTAAGGACTGATCAACAAGTAAGAAAGATGCGAATATCGGATTCGCAGGTGGTCGTCGTGTAGTGTGTTCCACTGTTCCCTCGGACTGTCTCTCTCTCTCCGTCGTTACTGGCGACTGCTTCACATTTATCTCTCTCTCCTCTCTCTACAGATCCAAAAGGCCGTCTAGAGAGAGAAAGCCCACCACGCTCAAGGCATACCCTCTTGATAAAGCTCCGACCTTGGTGGAAGAGAGAGAGAGAGAGAGAGATCTGATCGCGACGAAGAGGCGGCGGCTGCTTTCGAATTCGGCCCTCGAAGATGGTGACGAAATCGGAGGAGGACCAGCTGAACAGGCTGGAGGCCCAGGTGGACAACAGGGGCGGCGGCGCGTGGGAGTACCTCTGCCTCGTCCGCAAGCTCAAGGTGCGGCGCCCGGACAAGGTCTTGAAGCACGGGCTGGCGATCCTGAACGATTTCAAGAAGCGATCGGCTCTTGGGACCGAAGGTGGGTCTTTTCGAGATTATTTTATTTTTTTGTTTTTCAGATTGAATTTAGATGCAGTTTCAGTTTCTTGCTTGGGGGTTCGCTCGATTTTGATGTTTGATGGCGAAGAACTGTGCGCAATTCTTGAATTGTGAAATAACAATTTCTCAAAGTTGCGAAATTGTTATATGTGGATCATTGGGATCGTGGCGTTTCTCTTTCTTTTCCTTTGTTTCTGAAATCACAAGAGCTGTTTGATTCTTGCCCTTTTGTAGTTAGTTTTGTATGCGAGTTTTGGCGGTGAATTGGACCTTGTAAGTATTTGTTTAGCCAGTTACAAACCTCGGGAATGAGAATGTTTCCCCAGTTTGTTTAGCGCGGTATTCCCATTTATCTGGTCAAAAGGTGGAATTTTTTTAAAAAAAATTTGAAAGACTTCTTCACTAGGCTAGTCTTACCCCTTAGAATGCCTTTAAGTTTTCGGACTTCTTTCGTTGTAATCCTTTCCAGGCAACATAGTGAGTCAATGGCATGCCGTAAGACACTCTAGAGCTCATTTGGGGTGGAGATGACGAATGAAGATTGTTGCGGTTAAGCAAACAATGGCCATCGCAACTTGCAGAGTACAATAATTATCATTCCGCGAGGAGTTCTATAGGCATAGCATGTTGAAGTCTGCAGCTTGATCTCTCAAATTGCTGTTGCATATTAATGCCCTTGTAGCCTGTGAAATGATGCCAAGAGCAGGCTAGTAATTTTCACGGGCTTAGTCGAAAATGCAAGGTGCAACAAATGGAAAATGTCGTTTGGCAGTGCAGTTTATCCTCCCTATCTAGTTTACTAGCTATTTTGGCTATGTTACTTTTGAAGATCACGCACCCATTCGTGTATACTAGGAATAAACTGCTTTATGCTTACACGACTACAAATCAATGTACAAGTCTTCTATGTTTGGGAAGAAAACAAAAAAATGCTCAGAATTAGCTCTGTAATGCTGTAGACTTTGGCTTAGCATCTCTGGATTTGAAAGGAACTTCCTAGTTTATAAACTTGCTCAGTTGCTATCATTCTACCTTATTTTCCTCTGGACAGGTTCCTCGCTGCTCTTAATTGTTTATTAACAAAGCTAAGATCGAAAAGAATGCCGAAAATTAACTAGCAATCTTGATTTATGGTAACTCACCTTTGATTAAGTCTGATGGTGCTTTACGTGACAAAAATGTCAGCACTACGATTTGTGACTAATAAAAACATTTACGGTTTGATTGATTATTCTTTCTATCTTTCAATAAGAGGCATCTGCTGGTAATTTTTATCTAGCTATAATTTCATCCTTGAGTTGTGTTTGGTGTAATATATAGTTTGCTTTCCTAAAAGTAGCTGCCTTTTTCTCCTTGTTCTGATTCATATTCACCATACTTCCAAATGTAATATTATATTGTTCTTGTAGAATGGACTCTGTGCGAGCAAGTAGCAATTGCAGCGATGGACTGCCAATCCCTAGATGTTGCAAAGGTAGAAATTCTCTCTTTTTACTGGATCAATGTGTATTCGTCCTTCACATTAGCCTCTAGTATAATATTTGAGACTTTGTTCTGAGTATCTCTTGCTTGTGAAGGTCCTTTCCCTTCATGATGTTGTTGGATAGGTAGAATTTTATGATCTTTACATGTTAACATATGCTCTTTTATTATTATGTTATTACAGTAGACCGATGAACTTATTTTTTAGTTAAGCCAAAATCAACTCGCTGCTTGAACTTCAGTTATTTTGGTTAACTCTGCCTCATCACGTTTGCTTCTTACCTAAATTTCACCGGTTGTGTGTAATGAGGAACAGGAATACCCTTATTTTACTTTAGCAAATCTTCTTCTTCCTAAAATTGATGTAGTTTTGCCCAACAATCTTCTGCAGGACTGTATCAAGGTTTTGCGTAAAAGGTTTCCAGACAGTAAAAGAGTGGGTAAGTTGGACTAATCTATAGACTAGCTGATTTGTAACTGCTGAAAGTGTGGATCCAAATTCCGATGAAGTCGATCTTCTTACCTGATAGAGACAATGATCAGAGCCTTCGCCCCCAATGGGAGCCGCATGTTCAGTCACAGTGTTGTGTGTGAGCCAATTGTTTCCTTGGATGCTTTCTTTCATCCGACTCTTTGTGATTCAAAAATGCTATATATACTCCTTCTAATCATGCAAGAGTATCAGTTGAGCTCTTTGTGACGAAGTATAAGCCTTTTATCAAAAACATTGGAGGTGAGGGGTCGTAGAATGACGGCTTGAGTGTTACCGATGTCTTATCTGGGGGACTGCTGGGTGTTATCTCATTAGAGTTCTCAGATATAATTTGGAATATTTTATTTGCTAAAGCTATATTGAGTGTCATCTAATCAATTAGTCAGGGTTTTAGTGGTGATATTCCGGTACGAATGAGATGAACCGGAACTATGAGTTACGTAACTAGTTGATTTCATGAATTAGATGAAGTGATGAAAAGAGAGAAAACAAAATCCCAAGTATAGGAGAAATCATGATGAGGCAAATTGATACTTTTTCTTATCGTAAAATGTGAAAATTTTTAAGGAATGGGTAACAGAAGATAGTTAAGAAAAAGGGAGGAGAAGAAAAGCAACAAAAGATCATAACAATGGAGAAATAATATTTAACCAAACATTTTTCGACACATTGCATAGGAACTTGAAGTGGTAACACCACTTTATTGTTGCTAAACATATCCAAATAATTTTTTTTCTGGTCGTGTCCAAATAATATTGAACCAACCATTTTTTGACACATTTCATAGGAACTTGAATCGGTAAGACCACTGTAATGTTTCTTAACTCGTCCAGATTTTTCTGCTAATAATTAGCAGGTTAGCTTTTGAGAGAGGTCCAGCCCAATGAGGCTAGCACAATGAGACGGCTATCTATATGCCTTGGTTTACTGCTGTGGTTGATCTATGTATGTTCTGGAAGTAGCCTTAGCCTTTCGATTACGAGATTGATGAGGATGATGAGCGACAATGTCTCTATGGAAACTATCTGCTTGATGTGTCATCTTTGCATTGATGATGAAATAAAGATTACATATTTCCTTCATGATAAGGCAGATCTCATTGTTACTTCATCTGACGCGATTGAAAATGGGTTCACGATGTTTGCTCATTTTGTTATTTCAGTCATGTGATGTATGGGCTGTTTTGTAGGGAGGCTCGAGGGTATGTTGCTTGAAGCGAAGGGGCTGTGGGCAGAGGCTGAAAAGGCTTACTCAAATTTTCTAGAGGATAACCCTTTTGATCAAGTAAGTTTTGGCTCTTTTTTGTCGCAAATACTGCTATCCATTGAAGATTAATGAAATAATCTGCTTACTTAGTTATTTTTTAAATTGCAAAGTCATATGCTTCTATATCTGAATACTTCTCTCTCATAAAGGTAATACACAAACGGAGGGTTGCTGTGGCAAAGGCCCAAGGCAATGTCTCTACCGCCATAGATTGTCTCAACAAATATCTTGATACGTAAGAGACCATAACCTATAGATTATTTATCAGAGCTGGGGTGGCTTAATGCAACTTCATTTTTTCTATATTCCCTTTCTTGACAGATTCATGGCAGATCATGATGCTTGGAGAGAACTTGCGGAGATATACGTCTCCTTGCAGATGTAAGATTTTTCTGTACTAACTCAGAAGAAGATAAGGAGGCTACATTCGCATGTATTATGCTTCCAATTCCCGTGCTGATCTATACTGTTTTCCTGCCTTCATTAGGTATAAGCAGGCAGCATTCTGCTATGAGGAGCTAATCTTATCTCAACCAACAAATCCGTTATATCACCTAGCCTATGCTGATGTGAGTGATTTTTTCCCTTTTCTTTACTTTCTGAATAGTAACTATACTTGAAGTGGGATTTGCACCAGGGGTGAAGCAAACTTGGTACGATGTAGTATATCGTCTGTGCAAACCAGCGTATGACACCAGACCAGAATACTTGCTTGATGACATTCTCATTTCAATCAATAAATATCTTAATAAGGTGGTTCCTGAGTAGAGATTTGCTAAGACCCTTTTACAAACATTTATCTCGTAATGACAAACCCATTTCCTACATTGAGATCTATAATTTGAATCTTTCAACAAGTATCTTGTTTCAGTTTCGATGCTTTCTTTTATCATATTGGGAACAATTATTGCTCATCGATAAAGCTAGATATAACTGCCTTTTGGGAAAAAAAAAACAGGTGCTCTACACAATTGGTGGACTAGAGAACCTTCAGGCGGCTAAGAAATACTATGCGTCCACTATAAATTTAACCGGGGGCAAGAATCGAAGAGCACTTTTTGGTGTCTGCCTGGTGAGTTCTCGCGTCCTCCTAGAAAACTCGATTGTGGAGAAGCCTAATACTCCATCTTATGTGCATAAAATGGGCTTACTTTGTTCATGGTTCAATTTGTTTTCTAAAATTTTATTATGAATCACAAGGAACTGCCTTTCTTTTTTACCTCAGTGCACATCTGCCATCGGACAGCTTTCTAAAGGACGGAATAAGGAAGATAAAGAGAGTCCTGAGCTACAGTCACTGGCGGTGGCAGCTTTGGAGAAAGACTACAAGCAGAGTGCTCCCGACAAGCTCCCGTTGCTAACGTCTGCCTTAAAAAGCTTGAGAGTATAACTTCCAACATCAATGGAAGCTCTTCCATCAACGCCTGTGATCAGGAACCACAATGGGCCATGGGGGATTCGCACGGAGATTGGCTTGCAGGTTTAACTTATTTTACGGCTCATACCGTGGACGGAATTTTGATTGTTTTCATTGAAAGATATTTAGTACGACGATATATTCTTAGTATTTAAGGTGCACCTGTCATTGTATTGACATTTAGGATGCCTCAGTGGGTTGCAGTAATTTCTTTTCCCTCATTCCTTTGAACGTAGCTGTGTTCACATCTATTGTTGCTAAGTTTCCGAAAGTATTTCATCCTGCGTTTGATAAGATGCTCCTCCTTTGGTCCCCTTTTAAACCATGCTTATGCTTCTTGATGTGATTTATTTGTTCTGAGTCTTTAAGATAAAGATGTATAGGGACATTATTCTCATGTATCCTGCTATCTTTGTTTGTACAACCCGTGTACGACATGTTTTAATTCGGTGGATTGACACGAAGCGACACATTTTCTTTTGCTGGTCGATTATTTGGCTTATCTCAATTAAATCTCACGGTTATGATGTCTCAATATTAAGGCGAAGGTCACATACCTGGCCGGCACTCGATATGAGCTGCGGATGTACAAAGATGGGGTCATGCCTAATCTATGATTTAGGATTGAATTGTAAAGGTTAAAAATCTGCGGTCTTAAAATATTGAACTCAAATTTAAATTTGGCATCAAGATTAGTACGAGTACCATAAAAATCTTGTGACTCGACCGTCGAGCTTTATCATACAAATTGATGGTGCCACTAATCTTATTTCAAACATAAGAAAAGGTTATTATGCATTTTTTAAATCAGGAGTGTCGCGACCGACCTCCTGCTTTTTTTAACAAAAGAGGGGGGTCTCGCCTGGTACGTGCTAAGTCTAGGTTCGGGACTTAACTCGGGCTCTCCCAAGCCCATACCATATCGCGACTTAGGGTTTAAGTTTTTAACATGCAAGTGGTTTATATCAAGGAGTCGCCACTAATCGATTTGGGGTGGGTCGATTAGAAACCCAAATAGGGTGATGGGAGAATCACCCTATTCCTGCGAACCAGAGATTAACTGAATTCGGGGACTTGGTTACACTAGTTGGATAACTAATGCCCTTTCGGTACCTTTTTACCCTGTTCATTTCATGAAAACATTTGTCAGGTAATTTAGATTGATTTTAGGACCTTTCTTCTAACATGTGAGGTGATCAAGCGAGTGCATAATCAGAAACGATTAGCAGTCAAAAACACAATAATTCATGCAGCCTAAGGTTCCAACTTTAACTAAGTCAGATGACATTAAAAAACACAACAGTTCATGCAATTGTATTAAAAACATGCATAACAATATAACGGTAATAAAAATAACATGCAAAATACTACTGCGCAATCTCAGGCTTGTCTAATTTAAATATGGCAATTTATACAATTATAACAACATGCATAATAATACAACAATAAATTAAAACACTTAGATATATCACAATAATTTAAAAAAAAAGATCTTTTCTTTTTTTATTTAAAAAATTAATTTTTTTTAATTAATTTTTTTTTCGAAAAAAAAATATATATAATAAAAAAAATTGATAATAATACAGAAAAAGAAAAAAAATTGAAAATTTTTTTGAAATTTTTTTAATAATTTTTTATTTTTAAAATAAAATAATAAAATAATAATATAAATATTAAACCGGGTCAGGTCGGATCCGACCCGGGTCAACGGATCCGACCCAGGCGTTGACCCGAGTCGGATCAGCTGAACCAGGTCGGTCTGACCGACCCGGGTCAACGGATCCGACCCGGGCATTGACCCGGGTCGGATCAGCTGAACCGGGTCAGTCAGAACGACCCGAGTCAACGGATCCGACCGGGGCGTTGACCGGGTCGGCCGGCTCAACCGGGTCGACCAGAACCCGTGGGAGCACCACGGCCGCCGCCGGCGAAAAATCGGCCTCTCGCCGGCGGACCCAGACCGGCGCCGCCCCCAATTCAGCCCCTGGGACTAAAACCAAACCTCTCCACCCACCGAGGTCACCGTCCGACCGCCGTTCGCCGACCGGCGATCAAAACGAAAATTGGTTTCATTGAGAACTTTTGTCAAGCAGGTGGTGTGCGCTACCAAAAACAGCAAATTCTGACCTGTTCCGGCAAACCGGAGGATTCATTCGACCCAACCTACTTTCGGTGAGGACACACGGACGGCGGGGGACGACGGTATGGGCCGGGATTCGCGCGAAACGGCCGACGCGAGTCCCGGCCAAACCGAGCAGAACAGACGCGGTTCGGGCTGGCGGAGAGCTCACTGTCGACAGCGCGTCTGGGGGCTTTCCGGTTGATAGGGGGGCGACGGCGACGCGGCTGGGAACCTGCAAGAACCAACTCTCCTCTCTTTCTCTCTCTATTTTCTCTCTTTCTCTCTCTGTTTTTCTCTCTCTGTTTCTCTTTGAAATTGGCCGACCGACTCCTCTCCTCTCTTTCTCTGGTCTTTTATGGTCGCGGTACGAGCACGGCGGTCGCCGAAAGAGCTCTCAGTCTCTCTGTCTCGCTCAATCTCTCTCTTTCTCTCCCGGCTTCTCTCTGCTCTGTTTCTTTCGTAAAACGGCCGACCGGGCCTCTCTCTCTCTCTCCGGCTTTTATAGGCGGCAACGACGCGTCTCACCTGCTCTCGCGTCTGCATGACGACGGCCTGCACCGGCCTACGCCACCCCACGACTTTCGTGGCCATGGCAGGCCGGTGCAAAGCAGAGCAGAGCAGGGGGGCCGATTCAAAACAAACGCAGAGAGGAAGGAGGAGAGGATAAGGGAGCCGGGGAAACGGGGAGGACGGGACTGGCAATTAATGCCAATCCCGTCGGCGTGCTCCTTCGGCCTTCCTCTGGCCGGACAGCGACGGCGAGAAGCGGCACCGCCGTGCGTCACGCTTCCGTCGCGAACAGAGGCGAACAGGGGCAGTGAGAGCGACCGTGGACGGGGGAAGAAGGAAGGAGAAGGGCTGGGCCGGGCCAGGCCCAGCTCGCGCGGGTAGAAAAAGAAAAAGAAAAGTGGGCCGAGCCCACGCCGGGGGAAAGGAAGAAAAAAGAAAAGGGCCGGGTCGGCCCAGCCCCGACCCGGCCCGACTCGGTTTTTTTTTTTAAGGATTAATTAAGAAAATATGCTCAAATAGGCCCTATTAATGCAAATATACCTAATGCCTATATGCAATGCATTGAAATAGAAATATTTTTTGTTTTAGGAATTAAAGAAAATTAACTCCTAAATTTTGTGTAATTAATTTTTGGGCTAATTAAAATAGATGTCAACAGCTGCCCCTCTTTAAAGGTAAGCTCGTAGAGTTTGCGCTCGTAGAAGTTACATTCAAAGATAAAAATGACACCTAAATTTGGCCCATGCATGCTCGATAAATGCTATTTTTGGCGAGACTGGTGTCCCATTTTTATGATGCGATATAAGATGATGCATGCTAAAGCAAATAAAAACATACCTGGGGCTACTTACCTTGCCGAAGGGTAGAGTAATTCCAGATAATTGATATTGTGTGTCGAGGACCCGAACCTGTCTTCGGTCGCCTTGACGGGGGGAAATGGTTTGTCTAGGACCCGAACCTTTCTTCGGTCGCCTTGACGGGGATTGTTTTTGTCTAGGACCCGAACCTTTCTTCGGTCGCCTTAACGGGGATTGCTTTTGTCTAGGACCCGAACCTTTCTTCGGTCGCCTTGACTGGGGAAATCGCTTACCTAGGACCCGAACCTATCTTCGGTCGCCTTGACTGGATTTCTTTTGTCTAGGACCCGAACCTTTCTTCGGTCGCCTTGACTGGGGAAATCGCTTACCTAGGACCCGAACCTATCTTCGATAGCCTTGACTGGATTTCATTTGTCTAGGACCCGAACCTTTCTTCGGTCGCCTTTACTGAATGGACTTTGTCTGCCTAGGACCCGAACCTTTCTTCAGTTGCCTTGACTGACTGGATTTTGTCTTGACAAAGTACCTGGGGGTCCTCGCTCGAGGGTTTGATGGTTTGCCTGGTGGGTCCTCGCCAGCAGGTCTTGAAAAGACTCAAATAATGAGCACCTGGGGGTCCTCGCCCGAGGATTTGATGGTTTGCCCGGTGGGTCCTCGCCAGCAGGTCTTGAAAAGGCTTAAACGATGAGCACCTGGGGGTCCTTGCCCGAGGATTTGACGTGAACATGGGGGTCAGTCCCATGCTCAGGAGAGTGAACAAAGGGGTCAATCCAATGTTTAGTTGGTGAACAACAGGGTCACTCCAATGTTCAGAGGGTGAACAACGGGGTCAATCCGATGTTCGAAGGGTGAACAAAGAGGTCAATCCAATGTTCAGTTGGTGAACAACGGGGTCATTCCGATGTTTAGAGGGTGAACAACGGGGTCAATCCGATGTTCAGTTGGTGAACAAAAGGGTCAATCCGATGTTCAAAGGATGAACAAATGGGTCAATCCAATGTTCAGAGGGTACCATAACAATCGTAGGTACATGGATTTTTGGAATCAGGCATGGGTAAAATGTACTTACCTGGGCACGTTCCTGCCTCTTAAGGGCGTGTCCCCTGTCAGACAAGTTTGCTTGTGCAAAGACATACGTATTCATCGGAGAAATAGACAACTGAGGCTATTCTTGAATATCGTATGAAATATCTTGACCAGCTAGTCAAGATGCTTTTCTTTTTCAAAGAAACACCCTGTTTACCTTTTGGGTAGTTTGAAAAGAATTCTGATGAAATACCTGGGATTTCTTACCCGGAGGTTTGATGTATCATCTGCTGAATACCTGATCTTTTTCAGGGCATCTCTTTTGTGATGATAATGAGGGCTTCTCCAGCGCCCGAATTTTCGTGTTCTATCACTGGGGATTAGAACTTTGAGCTGCAAAAGCATGCTGTGTCAATTCCACTTGGGGAGCGGAAGAAATTTTCTGTGACATCTTTGGAGATGCTTCAAAGGTCATATGTTCTTTGAGTCTTTGAGGATATTTTACCTGTCAAAGAGGGTTAGCGCAAACATGCATGCATTCATCAAGGATAGACAAGTTAGGCTATCCCAGAATGTGTATTTGAAAGTTCATGCATGATGATTTTGCCATGTTTGCATCATCAAACATCCACCGAGGGTCAATCAAGACAATTTTCGCTTGGGAGGTGGACTTCTCGAGATGCTGAACGAGGGATCCTCAATCAGAAAGGACTTTCCACTCGCTCTCATTGAAAAGGGCTATTTGTCCCGTCCATTAATGCGGGAACATCGAAAACACTCAATCTGACCGTTATCACATCCGCAAGGGTCTGAGTTTT